TGAAATATGGATAACCGATTACTTTCTCTCTCTTTCTTTATTTTTCATCAACGATTTCTCTCTCCTCTCAAATCCCAAATATTAAGATATAAGATAAATAAAGCATAAGATTGAAAAGTTAAATCCTCAAACTAAAACCTTAAAACTCAACAAGCATGCTTTGATAAATTTTAAAGTAGATTTGATAAATTTTAAAGTAGATTGTTAAGAATACTTGTTAAAGTGCTTAGAATTTTATTTAAATAAAGATATGTTATTTTTTATGACTATTTCTTTATTTTTAATGTTTTATTACTCGTCGTATGTAATTAGTTACCATACTAAATAAGGTCCATGAACATTAGAACATATGACTCAAAATCCCTGTATGATATAATAGAACCCAAACTCTACAGTGAAAGGAAAAAAAAAAGGTAAAATCATAACATAAACTTAAATAAAAGTATTGTGAAAAAAATTAAGGTGAAGAAAAGCCCAAAAATATAAGTAAAACATCTTTCCTTCAGAAATTATTTAAAGTGAATTTTAGAACCAAAACTAATTAAAAATTAATTTTGAAAATTACTATAATTAATTTTATCTATCCTTTTTCTAGAGAGTTATTATTCATTTCTTTTATTTATAACTTTCTTTATTTCCCTACATTTTGGATTTTTATAATCCCTCTCACTCACTAAAACTCATATATTTCTTTATACAATGGTGTTTCTTAGAATAAACAACCCTTCCTGAGTGTTCAAAATTTAGGGCCCTCGCCTTTTATTCAATATAAATATTTATTATCTCGTTACAAGTTTACAAGTTTAATTTTAAATAGATGTAATTAGTAACATATATGTACCATATATTCAAGATGAGGTTTTTATAGTAACATGTCACATTACAAAAATAATGAAAAAGCCTCAGTATTTTTCTATGGTATGTGAGTAAAAACATTGTGGATTTAGATAGTATATTGATAATTTTATCATTTATTACACTTAACATTTGGCTTGGCAACGGGGTAAATTCATCTTTTTTAGAGAATTCAAATGTCATTTATCAATTAATACAGGATAATTTAGTTGTTTATTGTTTTTTATGTGCAATAAAAATAATTTATTTCCGTTAAAAGCTAAAAAAATTAGCCTTTTTATCCAATGCCTTTTCCTATTTATTTGCACAATAAAATAGCACTGATATCCTTAAAAGCTAAAAAATATTGACCTTGCAAAAAGAGGTTATATTGTATTTACACATTTTTTATATAGTAAAATGGCATTTTTAACTTCTGACTAAAAAAAATCTAATGTTGAGCTTGGAAGGCATTTGTATCTTTGCAACATGGGTTTTTTTGTAATATTAATATGCCTTTAGGACCTATTTAGTAATTTGCATTATTAAAATATTAAGAAATCAATAAGAAAAGGTTGAGATGTATTACGCAATATCAATGCATCATCTTCCCCTATTTTGGAGGCATGTGGTGAGTATTCTGATGGCCAAAAACTATCGATCACCATCTCATCTAACAAGGAAGTGGTGTGGCTACTGGAGTAGTATGTTCGGTCAAGCTAACAGTGATTGGGTGATGATGAACTTTTTTCCTCATTTTTTTTTTCTTTCTCTTAGGTTTTAGTATTCATATGGAGCCTTTAAAAAATCAATAACGTCCTTCGGTTTTGTATTTATTTTGAATTTAATCTTTATTTTTTTTTATTTGTTTTGATTTTAATGCTTCTTGAAAGTTTGTTTTTCAATTTCATCCATTAACATTTAATTTCATTTAATTTCTATATCAAATTTTATTCTCATTCTTTTAATTACTATTTTTTTTTATCTTTTGCATTTGTTTTAATTTTTTCCTTTAGGATTTTTTTCATTTTATTTTGTTTTCAATTTTGATCCTCATTTTCTTATTGTTTTTTTTTATATATAATTTTTTTTCAATTTAATCCTTAATTAGTTTCTTTCAATTATATTTTGTTAAAGATTTAGTTTTCATTGTTTTAATTTTTAATTTTTTTATGATTGAGAATTTTTTTTTGTAATTTCTTTGTATCTGTCTTTTACAGGGCAATCTCAGTCTCATAATCCGGTCCATCAGTTTCAATGATTAAACTGGTTTAAGTTCGGGTTTTTTTAAATTATTTTTTTATTTTTATTATTTGACATTGACTTATTAGGCCATGAATTTCATAATTTGTTTTGCTTTTCTTTTTGTGGGGTTATACCTTTCTCATATCTCAGGTCGCAAATTAGTCAAGTTAAATTTGACTAACTCGGTTTTTTTTAAATTAATTTTTTAAATTTTATTATTTTTCATTAAATTATTAACCCATGAGCGTTGTGAGTTTTTTCACTTTTCTTTATACGGGGTGGTCAAGTTAGCAGGTGTTGGCTTGGTTTTTTAAATCATTTTTTTAATTTTATTTTGGTCTTTTTTCTATGTTTTTTTTTAATTTAATTTTTAGATCTCTATCTCATATCACATTTGACTAGTCTGTAAAGTTAGTTAAACTCGACTTAGATCTTTTTCTTTGACGTATCTTTTTTTTTAAAAAAATTGAGTTTTTTCAGCTTCATCTTTTCATATTTGATTATCAAAAGTTAATCCAGAATGAATTTATTTATCCAGACATGTTTATTTATTTTATAAAACTGGGCCACAGCGTAAGTCGTAGAAACCTAGAAACCAAAGATGTTATAACATATGGATGATTGAAAAGGATGAAGACTTTGTGGGCTTAATCAGCATAGCAAAGACCACGAAGCTTTGATCAAGATAACACAAAGAGTATAAGAACCAAAACACATGCAGAAACCCGTTTTTTATGCTCTCAAATCATTTCATCCCCTAACACTTCCAGTTTTTAACTTGGAATCAAACACAATCTGATTGTAATAAATTGCACGGGTTGTTATCGTTGCCATTCGAACTCGAGCAACTCAATAAGCAAAGGTCAGAGGTTGAGGTCTCAAGTTAAGCCTAGGTAAAGCTCGCTTAGAAAGGGCAGGTTTAAAGCCCAGTGGAAATCAAAACCCTAGAGAAGTCCAAAAATGAAAAAATAAAAAAAGAAACCGAACAGTGTTTTGGACGATGTTATGATAGTGTGAATGGAGTCTTTGCTACTGGGTCTTTGCTTCGTTGTCAATGGAGTCTGCGTTTACTGTGATTGGTTACAGCATCAGGAGGATTAGGACGTTTGACTGGCTGCACTCCACAATCCAAAGCCAACGACTTGGAGTGGAAGTCTTTCTGGCCTGTACCAGCTCCAGCTTACCGGAGACGCTAATTCAAGTGGGGCCTGGCCCTCCCTTCCTCTCTCTCTCTCCCCCCCAAGATTTCTTCATCTGCATGTGAATAACTGGACCGAGGAAATTTTAGTTCTAATTGGTGACAACGAAATGAAGAACAAGTTAAAAACCTTGCATCTTACGAACTATGCCTATGACATTATCAATTTTGTTTGATTTTTACTGTAACAATAATTCCATGCTATCCAACCATATATTAATCTTTTATATTATTTTAAATAAAAAATATTTTTTAAAAAAATTATTATTACGTTGCTAAGAATCCTCTGAATTTTTATTTTTTTTGTTTTTAAGTTGTCTATGACAATATTATAATTTTGTTTGATTTTCACTGTAACAACAATTCCATGCTATAAATATATATTAGTTTTTTATATTTTTTTGATGTATTTTTAAATTCACAAATATTTTGTAGTTTTTTTTTTAAGGCCTTGAGATGGGTTTTTTTTAAAAAAAATTATTATTATTTTAGATAATGACCATGTATAAAGAATACACATTCAATTTAAATCTAAAGTCTGAACCAAGTTAGTAGCATCTTAAAAAAATGGTAAAATGATGTATTTCATTCGATAATAACCACACTCATGAAAGTATTTAAAGTTTCAATATTGTTAAAGGGTGGTTGTGTTCATCGTGAAAGGCACGATATTGATGGTTGTACTCACACAAACTTTACTTATTTGATAAGTTTTTCTGTTTATTTTTATTGTTTATGATATTATATTTTTTTTTATAAATATTTTTGTTTGAATTATTGTTCATAAAGTACATTAATTAAATATACATTAAATATAATTGTAGTTTGTTGTAAAAGTGGATAGATACACGAGTCTTATTTAATAAAGCTAATGACATTCCTGAACTTGTTTTCATTAAACAAATAATAATAATAATAATTTATAGTTAGATAATATTCATATAATCACAATAAATAATATATGTATTAAATTCAATGTTTCAGGCAAAAAACCTTTGATAAATTACTTTTTTATTAATTAATAAATCTTTATCTTCCAAAATATTAATTTATAAAGGTTTTAGTATTGTTCGAAATGTAAACACTTTTCACTTAGTGGTATGGTAAAATGATATTTAGAGAAAATTATTAATATTTCTTGGATGACTGTAATTCTTTAGATATAGTAAAAATAAAAACTTTTTATTTCTACTATAAATATAAATATAAGTGCATTGTAAATCCATGTTAAATCTTATATTCTTTTTAGTTTCTTTATCCATAATTGCTGGAGGTTTCCATAACAGAATCTTTTGATGAGATAATATCACTCCTCATTGTTGGGTTGCTTTAAAATTTTGGTCGGAAAAAAAAAAAAAAAACTCTATCTAACAATGGAATTTCTTCCATCTAAATGCATTTTTTTATTACATTTTTAACTATCTTAGAAAAGTTTTAATTATCTAAAAAAATATTAAATTAATTATTTTTTAATATATTTTTAGTAATTTTAATGTGTTGATGTAATAAATAAATAAATTCTAAAATAATTATTTATATACAATTAAAAAAAAAAACACATTATCCACTTCGTCAAACATTACCCTTAATAGAGGAACCACAGCGCAGCCCACAAACATGATTTTTTTTGTGGTCCATCCAATAATCATAAAACTGCTGGGTAGAGAGGAGAAGGCACCAAGAACTAAAAATAAGAAAGGCCAAGGGTTGAGTTAAAAATGGAGTCAGAAGACTTTTCAAGGGTAAAAGATGACCTGTCTTGTAGTACTTTGTCCTCTTAAAGTACTATACTGGAAATTTATTCATTTCTTTGCAGTACAAGCTTCTACCACACCAGCTGTGTCCTACATAACCTTGTACTATTTTACTTGTCATTTCCTCGACAAATGCTAATCTTTGTTTAGCCGAGGCTACGTTTTGGAGCTATCCATTATTTCTTGCCCAATGTCTCGCTCTCTCTTCTCCCTTTTTATCCTCCTCTCTCTCCTCCTTCTAACAGCCGGGCACAGTGGCCACAGCGACGACGCCGACGCCGATGCCCCAAAAATTAATCTCCGTTCGACATCCTTAATCCTGGTTAAGATATGGTGCTTGATATTGATCTTTATTGGCACTTTCATTGGTGGGGTGTCCCCCTACTTTTTGAAGTGGAACGAGGGGTTCTTGGTGTTAGGGACTCAGTTTGCTAGCGGTGTGTTTCTGGGGACTGCTTTGATGCACTTCTTGAGCGATGCAAATGAGACCTTTGAGGATTTGACAGAAAAGGAGTACCCTTTTGCTTTCATGTTGGCCTGTGCTGGTTATTTGTTGACTATGCTTGCGGATTCTATCATTTCTTACGTTTATAGCAAAGAGGTGGCCAGCCAGGCTAATGGTGGCGATGTAGAGCGTCAAGGTATGTAAAATCCCTACAACGTCCGCTTCTTTAATGTTTTTTATATTCATCTACTCCGTGTTTTGTTGAGAAAAATATTTTAGTCTAATTTCGTGACATGTTCTTGTGAAGACTGTCCACTGAAATCAATTCCTTTGTGTGTTTTCTTTTTTTTTTTTGAAATTGCCATCATGCCTAGCTAGTAAATAAAGAAAGAAATTAAAAAAAAAATAGAATTAGGGTTTTGTACTTTAGGCGTTGATTTGCATTTCGAAAGATTAAAGTGCACAGAGTTTGTGCTCATGATGATGTAAAGCCATGGTTGATGTATTTCGGTTTTCTTTGCAATGATGGTGGTGGAAAGTGATGAATTTTCTTCTACCTTCCTCTGTTTGTGGAGTTTGATCACACACGTTGTATTAAAAAAGTACTTAATCTCAGTTGACGCGCCACTAATCTAGAATACTTTTATTGCTGAAAAGAAAAGGAAAAAGAAAACAATGATCAAATGACCATATATCCCCCAACATGTCCAAAATATGGTGATGTGAACTTTGTCTCTTGGCTACGTTCTTAGAGAATGGAGAGTGATACATTCTTTCTCCTTCTTTTTGATATTGCAGGGGGTGTTCTGCAGGGAAAAAGAAGCCACACCAGCAGTTCCCAGTCACATTTTCAGGTGTAAATTATACATGTGATACTTACAGCTTTAGTCGATGCTAACATTTTTCTGTGTTTAAGTTATGCACAAACTCCTTTATTGAAACGATTACTTTTGCTAATATTTTTCTTGATGGAATTGTGCCTTGAAAGATGCACAATGGTATAGATGCTGCCTCTGCAAAGTCCACACTCGCAACTACCAGTTCATTAGGGGATAGCATTTTGTTAATATTTGCGTTGTGTCTCCACTCTGTCTTCGAGGGCATTGCAATAGGAGTTGCAGAGACAAAAGCTGATGCCTGGAGAGCTTTATGGACTATCACTTTGCATAAGATATTTGCAGCAATCGCAATGGGTATAGCTCTCCTTCGAATGATCCCAGAGCGCCCCTTTGTATCATGTGTTGCCTATGCTTTCGCATTTGCCATTTCAAGTCCAGTTGGTGTGGCCATTGGGATTATAATAGATGCCACAACTCAGGGTGCTGTGGCAGACTGGATCTTCGCCATTTCAATGGGACTGGCATGTGGTGTGTTCATCTACGTATCAATTAACCATCTTTCAACCAAGGGTTATTGTCCCCAGAGATCAGTTTTAGTCGATACACCGTTTTACAAGTTCCTAGCTGTATCATTGGGTATTGGGGTAATTGCTGTTGTGATGATATGGGACTAAAAACAAAGGAGGGAAGATGCCTATTTGGATGTCTGCTGTTTTTGGGTCCACATGAGTGCAGAGCATGGGTGGTAGAATACAAGCACGATCTATAGGTACAAGCATCATTAAAGATTTTTGATGGTGTGGATCTACCCTTAAATGTATAATGATACAGGTAATAGATTCATAATCCAATACATGGATTGAAAGGGTGAATATTATAGTGGAACTTGAGTACAGCATGCATTATTTAAGACAAAAAGTAGAGTAAAAAATGCAAACTCTTAACGTCTCAAGAACAGAACCAACTATTTGAAATCTCTTAGCGTAAAATGAAAAATAACATCGGCCTCAATGGGTGTCATGCAAGTATAATAATCAGATAGAGAGAAAGAGGAGTTAAAGACTAGTCAAATTTAAAGCAGGGGGAATAAAAACATCTTGATAATTTATCCCCAGCGCTCTAAAGGTCGGTGTGAAGAACTTTTTCCAGGCAAATAGAAACAACGACCGGACCAGCCAAATCCCCAAGAGCACAACCTGCATGCAAACTTTGTGAATTAGATCATAGGAATCATTTGATGCTATGTAATGGTACCCAGAAAATAAAATGGATTGAGCAAGCTTGCTTACCAATCCACTGACCCCTTGAAGGACGAAAAAGGGTGGCACCAACCCCAGCACCAATGGAAGCAAAAACTAGCGATGCACTGCACCTGATAGTGACGCCAGCAACCTTCTTCCCAAGAATTTTAACTTGTTCAGATTTGTCAGCATCACTGGTTTCTTCTTCGGGCTTTGTTAAATGAGAGAAGAATCGGTAAATTTCAATACCAACTTGGACAAGCCATGATGCTGCAACCCCTAAAAAGTGTCCTGCTTACATATAGAGAAAGGAAGCAAGAGAATTATAAAAAGAACTGAAAACGAAAAGGAGGTCAGGTTGAAAGTGTGAATGTTTGCATAATGAATTTAACCTCTGAAAGTTGTTCTGCAAACTCTGAAGAAGTAAACCATAGTGGGCATTCCTCTTTCAGCCTTACGGATGGCTGATTTAGGAACATCTGAAATGTTGATAAACTCCATCAGTTGTTCAGAATATATAATAAAAAGCATGGTAGCTAGGGAAGAGGAAGTTAAAATTACTATTCTAATATTCTTCATAAAGAAACCAGAAGTATCTCACTTCTTCAGTCGATACTTAATTTTAGTAGCTTTACATTTGTTAGGTGAATGGGAAGAATATCACATTAGTGACATCATGGAGAGAAGATACCTTTCAAAAGTTTCCATGCCATCCGCTGTGAAATGTGATGGGCAGCAAGTCTTTCTAAAATGCGTCTTGTAGTTACAACAGTAGTCTGAGATCACAGACAAATAATAATAATAATAATTAGTAGAAAACCTAGTCTTTGAAAACTTTGAAAACAGCAAGGCAAGCAACTAAAACAGCTGAACTTCTACAGTCCATTCACATATCAGTCTGAGGCAAAATATATTTCGAAGCTAGTTGTTTTTTGTTGTTCCTTGGGAGGTCTAGTTTCTACAGTGTAAGAGCATGCATGGGCAATGGATGGCAATGCCTGGTGTCGCTCCACCCAATCCATTATGCCAGGCATATTGACATTGCTGTCAAAGACGCCATACATTATTTTCTAAAGGCAGCTGCCAAATAATATTTGTATAGCATTATCAATATGATAGACAAATGTTAAAGGGGAGTATAGTGAAAAACACATAATGATTATAAGTAACTTAGATACCTCCAAAGCACCAGTCTTGTTAAATCTAGTAATGCAGGCTTACTGAAGAATGATAACTAGGCCAAAAAATTAAGCTAGGAAGGAAAACACCAAAAATCCACAATCCCTTCGTTCACGTGCAAGAGCAGTAAACAACTCAAATATTGAAGAAGCACTATTAGAAAGCTGTCCACAGTTGACAAGTTTTATTATTATTTTGAAGTCATAACACAGATGTAAGAGCATTTAGAATAACTGAGCAGGAACAGGAAAAGCCCCTGTTCGCTACAGCTAACCAAGAAAATGGTAAAGACTAGAAAAGCATCCATAATTATGCCTAAAATGACATGGGCCCCATATGGAATTCAAGTGGCCACCCACCCAGCCACTGCAGTCCCATGGTGAATTTGGTCCTTTTGCAAAAGCACAACAACATGCTAATTTTTACAAGATGGAGCTACAAGTTCAAAATGACTAGCATTATGTTCTCATAAAACAAGCATTATAATAATAAGCAATTCATTTCAGGGTAGAGCAACAAGCTCAATCCTTAAAGTAGCAAAAGCAAAATGTCAAACATCTGCATATGAATCCATGAATGTGGATAACTGTGGACAGTTCACTTAGATGGCCACCGCATTCAGAAAACTATTATCATTTCAAGGTCAGATTTCTAAACTCAGTCCATCCAACTAAGCTCAGTGCTAAATTAGTTGGGAACTTCGTTCAATTTTGCAATGGTCATTTCAGATAAGAATATTTTGATTTATAATAACTCATAAAAGGACACAGTGTGTTTAACTCCTATATGAAGTATGAGCTGGTTGCTCCACAGACTGGAACTTGATGCACTCACTAAGCATAGGACAAGAAAATGTTGAAATACATGCTATTAGGAAACATTTTTCTTTATAGTAATCATGCCCTTCAACAAGGTTAATACTATACATATACACAAAGTTTTATGATCTACTAATGTTTTATGAACTTGCGCAACAATTTAATTCACTAATGACTCGAATAAACAGTGCTTTTATTTAGTGATACAAAAGCAAGAAATTAGAATTTGGTATTGAAACCACTAACGCTGAATAGCATGCTTATAGTCCCAGATTTACAATGAAATAATTCTAAATAAAGGAGTAGCAGGACTTAGTGATGGGAAATTTGCAGCACAAAACCTACTAAAATAGATAGAGTGGGAAGACCAACAAAAGTATACAACTCACCTCACGAATAATTTGCTTCACTGATTTTTGGAAGGGAACAACCAAGTCTACACGTTGCACTTCATGAGCATCCTGAAGGAAGTCATCGTCATCCTCTTCTGTATTAGTACTAGGCTCCAAAAGAGGTAAATAGAACATCAAAAATGACCTCAAGGTTGTCATAGCAAGTTGCTTCCATTCAAAAGCTGAAAATAGAGGTTTCAACTCAATATAATACTCCTTGGTATTGTATTTCAGAGATCCTTTCTGAAAAATATCAGCAGATGCTCTTCGTATACTAGAAATATAGTCACCAGACAATGCTTCACCAGCATCACAGTAGGCAACTGGTATCGTGGGTTGACTGCCATGGCCATTAAGAAGGTCAATGTGAGGTAAAAGCAAACCCAATGACATAAACATACTTTTATAAGTAATATAAGACACAAAAATAGCTGGTTTCAAACAAGAAACATAGGAGAATAATATCAAATCATCACTGGTAGAACTCCCTACTATAGCTTTAAAACAATCTCTTGACAACAAAAGCAAGTGTGTACTTCCAAGTTCCAACCTCCAATTCCCTCCACCTAACTTATATTCCCTTTTCTTCTACATGAAAATGAAGTAACCCTGTGTTGGTACAAGTATGAACTGCTGAGAAATTTATGTTATATGCTAAAATTTTAAAACACAACCAGTTTCATTGATTCAAGAAAGAAAGAAAAGGACGATGGCAGACGCATTAACTTGAGCAGTAAACTAAATTCACGGAACAAGTGTCCCGCTCACTCCAGAACATCAATTTATAAGCTTGTTCCTGGCTCCAAAAACTTCCACAATTTAGGACAGTTTTAAGAGGATAATAAGTGCAGGATCAATCAATAAAAATGGAGTAGCTCATTCTTAAACAATGTTGTTCATCTTAGAGTGTGAGGATGTATGTATTAAAAACCGTAAAAGATTCAAATCCTATTCTCCAACTACTAAAAATATCGTCATCAAACCACGATTCTGCTACAGCTGATCGAGCAAGCGAAGGGATGCATAAAGCAAAAGAAGGCAGTAAAATCACGTGATGTGATGGAAACCCCCAATACATGAAATTGAATCCACGTGACGGCAAACGAGTGAGAACAAAAATCAGGGGTGATGCATAGAAGAAGTATAGAAAAGAAGCAAAGAGATTAGAGAATACCCGAACAAGAACCTAGAAGCAAAAGGGACGGCGGAAGCGGCGATGGAGGCGGCGGCGGCGGAGGCTGAGAAGTGGGTTGGATAAGAAGAAGGGTTTTTCCTTGACAACAGATCTAATACTATTGCTATGCCCGCCATTGTGAAGAAACTAGGATGAGGATGTTCGGTTTTTTTTTTCTTTTCTATTTAATATTACTAATGCAAACTTGTTAATTAAGCAGCAGCGCAAATGAGAGATTTAATTAATTTTATGGGGGAGAAAGTGAAGGATCATATAAACTGAAAAGAATGTGTCTTTCCTTTTCTTGGGGTGAATGCAAAAGAGAAGAGGAAGTGTGTGTGGGTGTGGGTGTGTGGACTGGCTACTGATTTATTGGCGAGGAGAGGAAGGGAAAGAGGGACACTGCTTCTGCTTGGCCAGTGTACCAAAAAAGCCAGCAACAACAACGCGATATTAATTTATTTATTTTTTAAAATGTTGCTACAAATTTATTTATTTTATTTAAAATTTATTTTTTTAAATATTTTTAAACCATTTTAATGTATTAATATAAAAAATTAAAAATAAATAAATAAATTACTTTAATATGTTTTTAAATAAAAAACATTCATTATTACCATACAAACACAAACATGTATTTAATATTTATTTGTTATAAATAAAGCTATTTTTATTTAATAATAATATTAATTCACTTTTTATATTTCATTGATTTTATCATGAATAAGTTATAGAAAAGATATTTCCACCCCGAACTTAATAATTACTTTAATAAAAAAATATGTATTTATGTCATGTAAGTTTAAGAAATTAAAAATCATTTAATAATTAATATAAATAAGATGATGAATTCCTAAACAACTTAGTTGTTTTATGCATCTTGTTTTAAATATTTATTGGCATAAATAATTAAAAGAATAGAATAATTTAATATAGTTGACGAATCAAGTTTTTATAAATATATCTTTATATATAAAAAAAAAGGATCAAGAACAAGAAAGATTTATAAGTATAAAATTTCAGGAAAATAAGCAAGCTCCAATAAAAACGCGTTAGGTTTAGACCTAGCTAGACTCGACATCTTGGGCT